TTCCTTCTGTTCGTCAAGGAATAACATTCGAAATTGGCATCCATTTGGCGCTCCCACTCGAGATATTCCTTGGGATCTTTCTTTCCAGTAAACACGAAAGGTTTGAACTTTGGATCAGCCCTCTCATCACGTGTTGGTCGACGATATTCTCGGTCATATGGATCCTTGAATCGGCCATCATCGAGGGGTTCATGGTGAGGCCTCTTTAGATTTTTAGGCATGGTTCTCTTCCCCTCACTTTGTTTGTTTAGCTCCCTAGCAGATTCCACGGGTTCGCTCACCTCCTCAAGTCGTGTGATACGATCTTGAATCTGTTGGATCATCCTATAAACCGAACTGTTACTGGATACGTTTGCCATCGATACTGAGAAAGCAAGCCACGGTAAATGCAAGTAACAAAACGTGCAGCACTAAGTACGAACAAATATAGTAGAAACGTTCAACGTGCAACAATGTCATGTACAAGCTAAAAGATGCACTTCACGCAACAAGTAACGTTTTGGTTCCTAAACAGTTTCAGAAGTACTTAGATGTTTTCAATCTGTTTCTAAGCTCAGTTAGGGAGCACAAAAGTCTCTCAAACTAACAATTTACCCAGATTCGTGCTTGGTACCTCTTGCCAAAAGAACAATTCGGAAACGAACAACAACCACTCAACAATACGATCGGTAATGACACAAATGCAAACAGATTTCGAAATGATCAAAGTGAATGAAAGGAACAATACAACCGGGGGGCAAGTCTGTGATTCAGGACGCCGAAGAGCCTTTCCAAGTCGTGACCCTAATCGATCTCCTGCAAGACACGAAATAGGTTGTTAAGTTTGATTGCAATGAGATGTAATCGTCGGATGTTCGTCAGTCAGATTACGAGCATTGTTTCGAGGTGTAAAAATTGAAATTTCAAGCAAAGCGACCTATGGTTGGATTCGTCTTTGAAAGAGGAAGAGTTTGATATATGGCTCGACAAATAATTCAAAGTTTAGCACAACCAAAACAGTCAAATACTGATTATATGTCAAACAGACAAAACTAGAAGCTAAGAACGAAATTAGAACCGAAGCGAGAAGCAAGGAGCGATCTCACCGGGGAATTTCGGCCGTAGGATCGAGCAGCTCTGATACCAAAATGATGTACGCACGGAGGAGGATGGAAGAAGTCTGATCGCAATCACCGGCTCGTGTCTAGCGGCACTCGAACTCACGAACAAACGGGGATAATCGAAGGGGATTTACGGGAAACTCTCTCAATCACCGGCTCACTCAAGTAGCACTCGAATTCAAGAGAGAATCAGAGAATGGATGGTGGAAATGAGGGGGAAGATGGCGAGTATGGCTTCAGACAAACTGAAGGGTGAGCCGGACACACCGAGCTCGGGATTTTCGGACAAACCGAAAGAGATTGTTGGACAAACCAACAAAGGATGAGGCAAGCTCGAAATTACTTCATTCAAATGTTCAAATCTGATCAAAATGATGTCTTACAACTCATATTTAAAGAGAAAACAAAGGCTCCAACAGCTAGTGCATTAAATGCACAAAACACATGCAAGACTACTCATAAATGTGCCTAGAGTTTGAAAAATATAGCTGTTGGAACTTCTTAGACTTTAATGGGCTGGGCTTTTACTTTGATTTGGGCTTGAATTGGGCAGCTTATGGGCCTGCTTCGAAGTCACTTGGGCCTAAGTGCTTTCGGCCTTGATATGGAACACATTTCGGGTCAAGTCTTGGCCGAAAAACTGAAACGTTATTGTCATGATCCCGGACTCCGTGAAGAACTTGAGTGACAGCCTTGGATAGCATGACACGAAGCACTCGAGCTCTAGCATGAGTAAGAGGGGGCTCGGCTCTATGACTTGCTCGTGGAGCCTCCGTGTTTTGCACATCACATCCCGTTCTCTCGGCTTCGAATGATCGTGTAGTGTGTTGATCATTCAGAATGTCTCTCGACACCTGAGAGGTCGAGTCTTCGACATCCTGGAGAGCTCCTTCCGTTATGCTCCCATCCTCGTCCAAGTCCAAGCCGCTAGCTCCGATGTCCTCATCAAAAACCCAAGCACATATCAATGCCACTCTTGTATACCTCTCGATGCTTGATGGATCATTCAACGAATTATGCTTTCAAATACTCCAAGAGGAACCATTACCATCCATTACCGAAGCAAGGGCGAGAGTGAGCAAGCTGGAGTTCGAACGAATGTTGCAAGGGAGAACAAAAAGTAAGTACACCGAAACCGAGTATTACAACAATGCATACTATGGTTTTTGTGCTCAAGTCTTGCAGAGGCCAGAAGAAGAAGCCTTGAATGTTCAACATGATGATCGGGACAAGGTGATGCACTCCGAAGAGGACCAAGCAATCACCAATGAAAAAATTCTCACAGAAAATAAACAAGATGACATAATCGATGAACCGGGAGAAGTGTTGGGTTCCCTTCGGGTTCCTAGCATGCGATCTCATCGATCTAGGGTTTGGATTCTAGGTTTCACGCAGCGGAAGGAAAGATCTAAACCTAGCCAAACATCACACAAAACCAATTGTGCAATAACCCGAACAATCGTGTATATCGTCGTGGGATTCGAATGCTTACCTCGTTCTAGCAAGATCTGGAAGTATTGATCGATCCAGGGCCTATTTTAATCACCAAGAGTTGAAAGCACAACTCCTCTACACGTATCCACACCGGCGTGATGAATTCCAACACTTTGGAACGTATCTGCTAGGATTTGTGAAGAGAAAACGATGTCCTTGACTTGGAATCGATATTCCAATAACTAGAACTCAAGAGAAAGCTTCTCCAAAGTGCTAGGAAGTGTCTAGGACGGCTGAGGTTTGTTCTTAGGGTTTATGGCGTCTCCCCAAATTAATTAGAATTGCCCAAAACCCTTAAAACGCGAAAACCGGAAACTGTTACGTAAGTCGGACCGTTCGTTCCAGGTGTGGAACGGACGTTCTTACTTTCTACGTGGAACGGATGGTCTGTCATCCAACGCAGAACGGACGGTCTGAACGCCTGGAACGGACGGTCTGGCACTTGCGGAACGGTTGGTCCGTTCCTCAGGGAACGAACGGACCATCGTGGCTGGACCGTCCGTTCCAGGCCTGGAACAGACGGTCTGGCCGTGTGGAACCCTTCCAAGTCATTCTGTGGTTCCTTTCTCGCGTCGTTCTCTTCACGTGTGATCCATCCCTAATGGTGTGTGATCCTGTATGCCCATTCGAAGTGGCAGTGGCTTCGAAAACCCTTTTCCCGAACCACAAGTCATGGTTAGCCTCTAGCAAGACGCCATGACTACCCACCTAGAATAGAGTTAGAGGTGATCTAACAAAGCCATTCATAGTTCGAGTTCTGATCCTTTGTCTCACGATGTCGTATGTTGAACAAGGGCATGGTATGAGCCACCCTTCAAGTTCAACCGCTTACTCGTCTAGGCAAACCGACTGATAAAATAGATGTACATTCATCTATAGCGTGGCCACGCATTTTCACAGTCCGATTTCCACGAGGGGCCCAGCGACATCTCTCCTGCGTAGGAGGTGACAAGTCCCGTATTGCATGTCTACTATCTGCATATGATTCGTGAACGTATCTGAGCAACACCGTTATGATCATCCGGTTAAAGACGACGTTTGACGCAGTCAAGACACGTCACTCCTCATATCAGATACTCTAGACATCTCAGGTCTGAGGATCCAAGAACGAACCGCTGTATGAGATTCAAGTCATGACTCATGTCCATGTGACAATCTCATGCGGGTCATTCAGTAACTCGTTCCAAACGAGAACCCATGATTGTGATTTGCATCCAATGCATATGATCATAATCATCTATCACACATCATGCTGGTCTTAATTCATCATTGTTCCCATAATGATAACTGATCAGGGAGTTTAGAATCATCTACAATGATTCAAGGATATTCACCGTAATATAATAAACATGCTAATCATATAACGGTAAAAGTAATGCATTCATAAACCAATGAATCAATACATATCAGGGAGTTTAGAATCATCTACAATGATTCAAGGATATTCACCGTAATATAATAAACATGCTAATCATATAACGGTAAAAGTAATGCATTCATAAACCAATGAATCAATACATAGTCAAAATATCATATCACGGATCATCGTAGAGCATTACAACCAACAAGAAGATGAGGGACAAGCGGAGCAAGCTACCATGGTGGACGACTTCCATGAGGAAATGAATTCCCACAATGAAGCGAGGACCACGGATACAACGCTCGTAGCCTCACCAATTTGGTTATCTCGACAACCTTTTTCATTTGAATTTCAATTCGATTTCTCGTTGTCTATGAATTTGTTTGGACAAAAGATAGCCCAAAAATATGTCAAGAACGTTTCTAGCCCTCTTATTTCCATCCACGATGCATTTGGAGCATCTCGACGAGGGGGAATGTGTGGTGAACAACTTTGGTCGAAAAA